TTTGGTCACATGCCCGGAGTGAAGTTGCTGATCTCTGCCAGGGTCAGGAAGGAATTTTCCTCGTCTGGCAGACTGGCCAAGGCTGGGTGGTTTGCGCCTTCCGCTCTCTCTGGAAGGCTGAACAGAGGTGCCATGGACACCACACCTGTGACTGCCGCCTCTGACTCGTGTGAGGGCAAGAAGCTCACAGGCCTGTCTCTCTGACTGTGTGGACCCCCCCAGTGCACCCTTGGTGAGTGAACCAAACTCTCAGAAGGGTTAGGAAGCCTCTGGAGGCACCAGGGACCTGAGCGTCCATGCCATTCATTCCCAAAGGTCCAGCCAGCCTTTCTCGGGCATGGAAGAGAACCCACTTGATTCTCCCCTCTTGTGCTGAAAGTGCTTGATTCTTTCCTACTTACTAGGCAGCTAAAGTGCTGACTACACTTTGGGGAGACTGAATTCCACCACCATGGGTCTGTAGACGGGCATTGAGTGAGGGTTCAGAATACTTAAGGGGTCTGGCTACCCCAGGCAAAGAATGTCCAGAGGTCACAGCTGAAAGTGGGTATGGGAGGAAACGGAGAAGAGAAAATCAGGGGAATTTTGTAGAGCTAAAAGTTTGGTCTCTGTATGATTGAATCGTACTCCAATTTAGTGAGCATACTTGACCGGAATATGCAACTATAACCATTATATATGCCTATGTATATGCGTGCACGTGTGTGGCTGTGTCAGCCAAACTGGGTGGGTTCCTGAAGACAAGCACGCAGCTAGGGTATGTGTTAGAGTCCATCTCATTGCTGTGTTCATGCAGATGATGAAGTATTGAGGCTGCAAGAAAAGCAAGAGGCAGAATCATGACAATGCTCCTTCTATGAGGTCAAGTCAACCAGCCTCTCAAAAAACAAAAATGTGGGGTTACAACAGCAGGCCTAGGACCCTCCCTAGGCTTCCCCTACTTGTCCTGCTGCTGACTCTAAGTCTAATCCAATGCTTCTCAACCTTTTTTTTTCCAGTATCACCCCCTTTTTCGTTCAATTCTTTTAAGAATTTTTTAAGGTGGACAATTTTTAAAAGTCTTTATTGAATTCTTTGCAATATTGCTTCTGTTTTATGTTTTGGTTTTTTGGCCACATATTGGGTCTTAGCTCCCCAGTCAGGGATTGAACCCACTCTCCCCTGCATTGGAAGGTGAAATCTTAACCACTGAACCACCAGGGAAGTCCCCTAGATCACTGTTTCTTAATCTTACCCCCTCCATGAAATGTTAATATCACAGATTTACCATTCATCATTTATGTACTGTGGGCTTTGTAGAGTCATAAGTCATAATGATGGCTAAGATTTTTTTGACCCCAAGACCAATTTTTTTTTTACCAATTTTTCCCCTCTATAGTCACTGTCCCCCACCGTGGGAATACATATTCTAACTTCAGGCCTAAAACTATATATCACTGGGCCTCAGTGTCCTCACTGAGAAGAGGGAACCCAAAAGCTATTGTTGCCCACCACCCTCTTCTAGCTACATTAAAGAAATCCAAAGAGCTAATTGAACTGAACTAAAAATGTTCAGTTATTGCAAGGACTGTAGAAGGCCCAAGAAGCTGGGCTGCTGAATACAAAGCAGCCATTATTCCTGAATTTTCACACCTAGGGCCTGCTGGTTAAGTGGCCAAGGTCTTTTGTGGAAAGTCCAAGACTTAACAATATCCCCTCCTCCCGCTGCAATAGAAAAAATAAAAGCTACTGCCCTTTATAAAACACATTTTTCCACAAAGCAAAAAATAATTATAGAAGAAAAACAGCACGCTGTATACCAGAAACAGCCTTTTAAGAAAACAATGGATATAATTTGCCACAGAGGGAACCCCCAAAGGGAATCAGATACAGACATCACCGAGTACAGCATTGAAGAGATCACAGTGCCAGTGAGTAGGCTGGTGCAAAGAGAAAAAAGAGAAATCTTTCTAAGAGGTAAATATTGCACTAGTCAAAAAGATTCCTAATTTTTCTGTGATCAAATTCAATTTACCGAATGACTTTTGAGAGCTTTGTCAGGCAGAAATGAAGAAGCATGTTCCTACTGTTGCATCCTATATCTGGAAAATTTCTAATTAACACCGGAGACCTGGGAACTGTTCTTCACGTGGAGGCTACCTCTCCTTTCTCCAAGCCCACCCGTGAAGGTCATGTCAGAGGTCTGCCACCCTCTTCTCCCATTTTCTGAGCCTCCGATCCAGCGGGGTAGGGGGTATTTTTACCTTGAACCGTCACTTAGGAGAACTTTTCTGGGGTCAAGTCCAGAAAGCAGAAAGGGCTTTGGGCTCCCACCAAGCCTCTTCCTCCCTCATAACCTCCCACCCCCATCCCTCCTCATCCAGCCACCTGCTCAGGGATATAAAACCAGTCAATCCGTGGGAAAATCAGAGTCCAGACCCAGGCAGCCTTGACCTCTGTTTGATACGGCTCCCAGGGGGAGATCCAGGAACATGATAATCTGCTGGGCACGTTAACCCTCTCCGGGAATCAGGAAGGAGACTTCCTAGTGAGGCCTGGCAACTTTTCAGCGATGCCCGGGGAGGGTGCCTACACGTGGGGATCTGAATTCAGTTATTTCTCTGTCTGGAGCAGAGTTCTCGTGCATATCTGAGAGTGATGATGGTGACAGATTTGCAAACAGCCCCAAAGAATTGATCTCCGGTTCTGGAGTCACACAGTCCCTGACCCTCTCGGGATCGAGATCCTGTTTGTCCTGGTAGTAAGCCTGGGATATGCCTGTGAGCAGATGAGGCTGTGAGTGTTTGTAGAAAGGAAAGCAGATGGGTTGAAAATTTGAAAAAAACTTAATTCCCTACACTGTAGGGTATGTGACTTGGACAAAGTTTCACAGATTTCTTGGGCTGTAATTTTCACAACTGTAAAATGTCTGGATGCGGGAAAAGATTGGACTGACAGTAATTTCCAACATGCCGGACCACTCATGATACGTGATATAAATCCAGTCAGGAGTAGGCAGACATTTTCTTGAAGCACCAGATAGTAAATATTTTAGAATTTGCAGGCCTAAAGGTGAAATCAAGTACATTATGTACGTATTATATAACCATTTAATATGTAACCATTTAAAAATGTAAAATCATTTTTATCTGTGAGCTATTCAAAAACAGGTGGTGGACTAGACTGTGCCTGTAGGTTATGCCTAGACCCTCTGATCTAGGTGATGCATGGATGACTAATTTTTATTTCAATGCTTATGTCTTTTTTTTATGTATATTAAATGAATACTGGCTTTCCATTTATAGTAATGATATAAAGTTTTCCTTTTAAGTAAATGCAGTTATGTTAAATAATAAGGGAGGTGATTTTTTAAAATAAGTTATCATGGGGCAGGCAAATGGCTAAAGTTTGGGAAGCACTGGACTAGGTGATTTATAAGTTCCTGACCATCTTAAAATTCCACGCACTTAATAACCCAAGACCTGGAATCTAGTCTTTGCTTTGCCACTTCCCAGCTGTGTGATCTTGAGCTGCCATGTCCTCCTTGCTGAAGGGGTAGAACCAAGTATCTCGTCAATATTATTGCAATAATAATAAGAGAATCTCGGTGAACAGATTTTTCTAATTCACCAAGAATGAATTTTTTTTTTTTTCTGAATTGTGGGAATATGGAAAACAGCAAAGGGAAACTTGAAAGAGGAGACTAATGTGGGCAAGAATGTTTGCCCCTTCTTTTCTATCCCCTCTCCAACCTCAATCAGACATCTTTTCCCAAAGCTTCCCACTTGCTGGTGTGCAGGGCAACTAGGCTCATGACTTCTTAAATAGACCAACCTGAGCTGTCATTCAAACTTGATCACCTACCACCTGGGTGGTATGGGGTGTGTCATCTGGAATCTCAGAGCTCCCATCCCCCATCTATAAGACAGAACACCTACCAGATCCTGACTCAGAGTAGTTGTTCTGGGGACACCACGAATAATAAACTTAAACTGCTCAGCCCAGGGCACTCAGTGAAGCAAATGTGTTACAGTGATCACAAGTCCCCACTCTCTTATCCAAAACCCTGGGGTGGGACGTGCTACAGAATTCAGAATTCTTCAAGTGTCAGGAAGCTACCCAGGGTATATACTGCAGAGCACAGATTACTCCTCTCAAGGTATTGCCTGCTTGGACTGCCTAAATGCATCAATATTTTCTGCAGTATATCATATGAATATTCATCAAGTAGAACAAATGAAACTATAGCTATAGATATAAAACTTTATGGTATACTATAGTTATATATGTTTAATAAATGTATGGTTTAGTTTACATACATATATAGAAGTAAGATGTAATTATATATAAAAGTTTTATAACAATCAATTCAGAACTGCTTTTGCTGGGAAATAAGTTGGCGCCAAACACATACAAATATATTTTCTGTTTCAGAGCTTTCAGATTTCAGAATTGTGGATTCCTGTTTGTGGGCATATTCACTTATAGTAATTTCTTCCCTGTTTTCAGAAGTATATTTTTAGACATTATAATCCAGAGTTCAGGGCCAGGTGAGAGAGAACAGGAAAAGTAAAGAACAAGGCATTATTGCACAACTAAAGCCTTCATCCTCAAATCCCAGCTTTGCCACTTACTGGCCTTGTTACCTGGGCAATTGTCTCAACCTCTCTGCCTCAGTTTTCTCATCTATAAAATGGGGATGGACACACAAACCTCACAGGATGTGGCAAGGATTAAATAATGTCACCATGGAAGGCACTTAGAGGAGTGCCCGGCTCCTGGGAGGCTGCATGTTGGTGTTTGCTGTCATAATTAAAAGCCAAGCGTGGGGACTTCCCTGGCAGTCCAGTGGTTAAGACACTATGCTTCTTCTACCTGGGGCATGGGTTCAGTCCCCAGGTGGGGAACTAAGATCCCTTATGCCAGTGATGCAGTCAAAAAATAAATAAACAAGTATTGCCCTGCTGGGGTCTCCTGCAGTGTGGCTTGCCGCCTCCTCACAGCCTCTTCTGCTATTACAGGGTGATGTTGGACTCAGTGACACACAGTACCTTCCTGCCCAACACGTCCTTCTGCGACCCCCTGATGTCGTGGACTGACCTATTCAGCAATGAAGAGTATTACCCTGCCTTTGAGCATCAGACAGGTGTGTATGACTGGAGAAGCCCATCTGATTTGGGACAGGCTGGGGCAGGAGATGGTGCTGGCCTCAGGCTGGCGGCAAGGCCACGATGGCCTGAAACGGCCAGCTCTCACCAGTATTCAGGACAGAGGGTTGCCAGAGTTCGAGGCAGGGGGAAGAGCCACTTCTGTACAGAAGAAAGCCCTGGAATCCTCACTGTAACCTCTTCCCAACTCTGTGGCCTTGGGAAACTCCACTAACCTCTCTGAGGTTATTTTGCTAATGGGTAAAGTGGAGATAACATCAATCTCCTGGAGAAATTATATTTAAACAAAATAGTAGAAACCCTTAGGCCGAAGCCTAGGACATTGTGATTGCTTGAGCAACCTGGCTTTAGCCAACATTTGCTAAAGACTTACTAGCTGTGCCCCAGACCCTGTGCCAAACACCCATCTCATCCTTACAGAAACCTTAAGAGAAATTAGTAATTATTATTCCCATTTTATAGATGAAGAAACTGAGGCACAGAGAGGTTTCATGACCCACCCAAGGTCTAACAGTTAACGAAGTCTCCTGTACATTGACTTGAGCTCTGTGCCCTTAACTATCCTACAAGGTCAACTTACAAATGATGGAATGCTGTGGTTATCAGTATTATTATAGCTATTCTCTGAACTTTTATTTCCTTATCCCTAGAGCAGGGAAGAGGAATTCTATAAGGATCAAGAGAGCCAAACTGTGAAATATATAACCTGGCAACCAAGGAAGTGCTCAGTAAACAGGGGTCCCTTCATTGTCCCTCCAGGCCACCCTCCCCCCACATCCTCCTCTCCTGGTCCAGTTCTCTCCACCTAAGAAGGAAGCACGGGGCCTTGTGCAGGCCATAAGCCAAAGCGAGGCCAGCTGAGCTTTGCCCCAGAAACCCTCTGAGGGCCTCTATCCCCAGGTGCCGGGTGACTGCACTTCACAGCGAGCCCGGCTGACTGCGGGCACAGCAGGTACACGCCCCGCGGTGGGGGTGACGCAAGCGCCGATCCAGCCCTCAGGCCTCGCCACCCAGCCTTGACCCTGTGTGTTCCGGCCCAGCGGGGCTCACGCTCAGGGTCAGAAAGCAGGTGGCCTCCAGGAGAGGGTGAGTCTCCGAGGACACTGTGAAATGCCCCCCTCTAGGAGTCCCTGCCTCCAGGCCAGAAACCAGAACTGCACAGACAGACCTGAGGCACATGCTTACACAGACCAGTCCCGCACCCTCCCCAACCCTACTCGTGACACACACATACCGTGACATGGTCCACTCTCACCAGGGTCCAGATTATTGCATGGGGACGCGATTCATCCAGCTGCACAGGAATGTTCTTCAAGCCTAAAGAGCGCCTTGTTCCCAGAAAGACCATGAGAAATGTACTCAGTCTCTCCCTGCCCTCCCACCCTGTATTTGGTCAAGAGGCTAAATCTGCAGGAGGAAAACGGAGCTTTCCGAGTCCCCGTCTCTTCCCTGTGTGTCCCATGATGGTGGAGCCCAGCCCCACCCACACATAACCCAGACCTGCCATCCTGGGAGCCCCCTCTTCCCGCTTCTTCTACCAGGCGGTAGTGGGATGGGAGAGGGTAACCTCAGGTGCCTACCCCGTGCGGTGTTCCAGGAGCTTCTGCAGTTGTCAAGAGCTCAGACTTTGGCCAAGAGAGGCCCAGCTCCCTGCCATTACCAAGGGAAGGGGCTTGCCCCCTGGCACTCGCATTTCAGAAGGAGCTGAGTGTTTCTGAGCTTGTAAAGGTCAAGTTTGAGTGTGAAACAGTCCCCAGTGAGGACTAGGCTCCCTTGGGTCCCTACTGGTGGGAAGAATGCCCTGCAGGGCCTTCTGTCTTTTTGTCTCACAGGAGGTGACACATGGGTCTGAGTGTCTGCAGAAACCTTCTGAGAGGGATGTCTCAGGAGACAGCCAAGGTCTCCTCCAGACACTGCTCTGCCAACTTGCCACCTCAGTGGCCATCTCTTCTGAGGTCCTTGCCTACCTCCTAGGGAATTCCAGCTTGAAGTCAGGGTTGTCCAGATGGCAGCTTCCAGTTTGGGTCCAAGGTCACCGGGCTGGGGCTGGCACTGACTGGCCCCGTGACCTTGGCCAGGTTTTCCCTAACATCTCTGAGAGATGTTTTCCTTGGCTAAAATAGCATCTGCCTCCCGGTGTTGGGAGGACTGACTGAGATTCCACACGTAACGTGTTTAGCAAAGTGCTGGGCACTTAGCAGGTCATCACTGCAGCCAAGACACGACGTGGAAAAACAGCTTTCTCTCTCCTTGCCTCACTTTTCATATTGAACAAAAGTGACACGGGTCTCTATCTCAACCTATCCAGTTCAGAATTGTCGGCAGCTTGGACACTTTGAGACAAAAAGGAGAGGATGGGAGAGAGAAATGGTGTGCCTGCTGGGTAAATGATGTCTAAGAATGAAAAGTGGAGGGAGGAATAAGCAACATGGTCAGGAGAACCAGCTGTTTATGCCTCTTAAATGGCTCTAGCAGAAGCAGCCAAACATGCACCTTCCATGTGTTAAGAGCTCAGGACCTGGCCTCTCTTAAAACCAGCACTTAGAGGCTGCCCTGCAGGCTGGCGAGTGGATGGTCACAGATTGCAAAATGCTCTCAAATGTCATGAGTTCACCCTGGCCTTCCCTTCAGCTCTTTTAAAATAAAGAATTACAGATACTGGAAAATTTTATCCAAGGTGGAGAGTGGGGAGCTGTGTATATTTCACTAGCAAGTGATATTTTTAAAAGATGATTTCTCCAATCGAGTTCCAGTAGCCAAGCATCTGATAAGTCATGGAATATCCTTACTTACCTCTACTTTCTGGAACTCTGTCCTGACCCTCCACACACCCACACACCCCTACCCTGATGGCCAAGGTGGCCAGGCCAATGTGCAGTGCACCTTGGCTTTGGGATCTTGCTCATACTTCGCAGCAGAGCTTTCTAGGTTGGGGCAGCTCTAGAGGTTCTTTGGAGGTCCCTTGGGGACCTGGAGTGACAGCTGAGAAGGACAAGCTTTAGACGCCCCTCTCCATCTCCACCCTCATTTTGATTCCAAAGACAGTAGAGCAAAGTGGGGCTTGGCTGCAGGAGCTGGGTTATACCTATATGACCTCCTCCTTGGGCTTCCCTTGTGGCTAAGCTGGTAAAGAATCCATCTGCAATGTGGGAGACCTGGGTTCGATCTCTGGGATGGGAAGATCCCCTGGAGAAGGGGATGGCTACCCACTCTAGTATTCTGGCCTGGAGAATTTCATAGACTGTATAGTCCATAGGGTCCCTAAGAACCAGACACAACTGAGTGACTTTCACTTTCACTTTTCACCTTGCTCGGCCACTTACTCGTTGCGTGACCTCAAGAAGGGCTTTCACATTTCTCTGTCTTTCTTTCTTCATTTACTTCGTAAAGTAGGCTACATGATCTAGGACCTCGAGTTGAGGATGGAATGAGAAAACTCAAGAGTGTAGCAGAGTAACTGGCACATACTAAGTGCTCAACAAATATGTTAGCTATAGGAGATTTTATGGCTTCCCTGATGACTCAGCAGTAAAGAATCCACCTGCAATGCAGGAGGTGCAGCAGCCTCGGGTTCAGTCCCTGTGTTGGGAAGATACCCTGGATGAGGGCATGGAAACCCACTCCAGTATTCTTGCCCTGGGAAATCCCATAGACAGAGGAGCCTGGAGGGCCACACTCCATGAGGCTACAAGCAGTCAGATACAACTGAAGCGACTGAGCATAAGCACAAGGAGATTTTATTTGACGGGGGAAAAAAAATTTATTTTAAGTTGCAAAATGCTGATCTTGGGTATTAACATCCAGATAATCAGAGAGAGAGGTATCTGGGTTCCATTGGGGGCTTTTCTTAAGTAAGATTCCTATTCCAGGTAGAGATGTTTCAGATCAGATACCCAAGAGAGTCTAGAAATTTCTAAATCAAAACCAAATAGTGAAGTATAAAATCATCAGAAAGCCTAAGGTGAGCCCCGTGGCGGTGGTCACACCCCAGGACACTCCCAAGGAGAGACCTCACTGTTGGCCACCACTAGCCTCTCCCGCACACATCTGAGCCTTTGGGCAGCTGTGGCCTGGGACCGTTTAGGGCCTGGTGCTCTGTCCTTTCCAACCACACGTTCATGGCCTCGGCTTTTGGATGACACCCTGCCGGCCTTCTCATCTCTTCCCCATCCAGTTTCTTACACTGCTCCAGGCTCTTTTTTTTTTTCCCCCATGTCATGGTCTAAATCACTCCACAGGCTTAGAAGGAAAGTCAAGAAAAACTATTGGATGGGGCTAGACCAACTCTGGAGGGAAACCGGGAAGCCATGTATCATTTCAGGTCCCTCCTTGTAAAGTCCTTCCTTTCAGGGACAAACCACAATTGACGGTGCCCCATGCTACTTAGTCCATTCACTGGCCCTCTTCAGTGCTGCTCCAGGCAAAAGACTCCCAATTTCCGATGCTAATAAATCATGCTAATTATGGTCCTGGCTGGCTAACTCAGGTCTCCTCTGACCCAGACTGTCTGCCTCCCTCTCACTGGGTCTTTGGGTTCCTTTGTTCTGCGTGTCCCTCAGTTAGACTGAGGCCCTGCTGGAGACAGCCTCATTTCCCTGAGGACAAATGTCATCCCCAAATAATAACTAATTACAAGTGACACAGGGAATTGTTGATTTGAATTGTGATCCAGATCACTGGGCTAAGTTCTTTATATCCATCATTTCTCTTCCATTTCACAGCAAGCTTCCTAAAAGATAGACACTGTTAGTGTTCCTGTTTTAGAGATGAAGGCAGCTGAGGTCCAGAGAGGTTAGGAAACTTTACTAGGATTGCACAGCTAACAAGTGGAGGAAACGCAATTAACATAGTGGTATGGGGTGACCCTGATATTAACAACTACATGTTAATATTTAACATTATGGTATTGAATAAGCACTTACTCTCTGCCTATCCTTCTTCCAAGTACTTTACATGCATTGATTAACTTAATCTTTTT